TTTTCACCCTTTTTTTCNCTTAAAAAAAAAAAAGTTATCAATTACGCCATTGAGGCAAATATTATGAAGAACACAAGAGGCAATGATCACGAATGGAATCATGTCATCTCGATTCATATCAAGATATTTTAAACTTTTAAATCTTCCTTTGAGCAGAGCAAATGCTCTTTTGATGACTTGTCTTGTTTTAGCATGAACCTTATTGAATTTTTTTTGATTCTGAGAAAAAGAAATACAGGCATAATTAATTTTTAAAAATTATAAATTTCTATTCAGTCACATTAAAATAATTTTGTGACGGTTTGTTTTTCTTGCGCTCGGATATGCTCGTCGGGCCAGGTATGCAAGAAAGCGCGAGACAACCAACGCTCATTAGCGAGGTTTTACCGAGGCTTAGAGAGGCGGTCGGTAAGTCGGCCGGACCGGTCACGGTTGGCAAGTCCGGCGCTCAATACGGTCGGTAACGCGTGGAGCAGGCGAAGGGGTGTGAAGTCCTCGAAGGGCGGCGGTAGCACGGCAGCGTGGCACCTGGTGCAGCGAGATTGAGAACTGGTCTATGTCGGTCGGGCGCCCCGGCCCGACAGTGATGGAGAAGCCAGGCGTCCTGACCTTCTCCGCGCGGTATTGGTGCCAACGAGGTATCCCTGGTCGGACGGAAGGCGAAGAAGCCAGGCGCCCCGGCTCTCTTCGCTGGATGCAGGAGATGTGAAAAAGTCAGGCGCCCTGACTCTCTTCGCAAGGAATGTGAAGAAATCAGGCGCCCTGAACTCTCTTCGCAGGAGGAATGGTCTCGACAGGAGTAAGTTCGGGACCGGACCATGGTGGAAACATAACATGGTGTGTGCAGTTGGCAAGTGTCTCTTTCTAAAAATCTGCCCTAGCTTCGTCGTTTGGTTGTCGATGTTGGGAAAGTGGTACCAACTGCGAAAAGCGAAATATTTGGCGTCGAGATGTTGGTATGAAATATAGTATACGTAACGTGAACTGTAGATGGTTACACGACAATTTCCATAAAAAAAGAGGGAATGTGGTTGGTAGCAACGAAAATCTCTAAGCATCCATAATTTAGTTTCTGCACGGTGGTAATATTGCCGTGTAGATAGTGTAGGCTGCGGTAGAGTCCTAGATTA